CTCCTCCTTCCTCCTCCTCCTCCTCCTCACTTCCTCCTCCTCCTCCTGCCTCCTCTCCTCCTCCTCCTCCTATCCTCCGCCTCCTCTCCTCATGTTCCTCCTCCTGGTCCTCCTGCTTCTCCTCCTCATCCTCATCCTCCTCCTCCTCTCTCCTCCTCCCCTCCTTCCTGCTCCTCCTCCCTCCTCCTCCTCTCCTCCTCCTCCTCCTCCTCCTCCTCCTCCTCCCTCCTCCTCCTCCTCCTCCTCCTCCTTCCTCCTCTCTCCTCCTCCTCCTCCTCTCTTTCCTGCCGTCCCTCATCGTTCCTCCCCCTCGTCCTCCTCCTCCTTCTTCCTCCTCTCCTCCTTCCTCCTCCTCCTCCTCCTCCTCCTCCTTCTCTCCTCCTCCCTCCTCCTCCTCCTCCTCCTCTCCCTCCTCCCTCCTCCTCCTCCTTCCTCCTCCTCCTCCTCCTCCTCCTCCTCTCCTCCTCCGCTCCTCCTCCTCCTCCTCCTCCTCCTCTCCTCCTCCTCCTCCTCCTCTCCTCCTCCTTCCTCTCTCTCCTCCTCCTCTCTCCTCCTCCTCCTTCTCCTCCTCCTCCTCCCTCCCTCCTCCTCCTCCTCCTCCTCTCTCCTCCTCCTCCTCCTCCTCCTCCTCCTCTCCTCCTCCTCTCCTCCTCCTGCCTCCTCCTTCTCCTCCTTCTCCTCCCCCTCCTCTCCCCCCCTCCTCCTCCTCCTCCTCCTCCTCCTCCTCCTCCTCCTCCTCCTCCCCTTTTTCGGATGCAACTCCTGGGAGGTCAAGTTCTGATTTTGCCCTGGTCCGAAAATCTGGCTTGATCCAGCTGAATCCGGCTGAATCCCGCTTAATCCTGTGCAACCCGGCTTAATCCCGCTTCATGCGTAGCAGACCACCACTTGGGCTTAATCCTCCTGAATCCTTCCGACGACGACTTCCCAGTAGTTGCCTCCTAAGGGGGGGCCCACGGAAGCCCTACGAGACAGCCCTCGGCATCCTTCTGCGCCTCAAAAGCGTGCGCAAGGCGCGATGGCAGAGGGGTGGGCGGCCTCTCCCACGTCGTCGCGGCACGCGGGGGCAGCCTGTGGCCAGACGCCCCTGGGTACGGCACGGTCGCACTCCTACAGTAGGTTCGCGTCGTGTCGACCAGCGACAGCCCCGCCTCTGGCGTTCAACGTTGAACGCCGCGGGCGACCCAGAAGCTGTCGATGTTGAGCGATCGGACGTTTCGGAAGCGGCCGATCGTTCCAGGTTGAAGGATCCCCGCGGTGTTAAAGAACCAACGCCGGGGTCGACACGACACGAACCCGCGGTGGGCGCCCGACGGCCCCGCATCGACGTGGACAGCGAGGTCACAGCAGTCGCGCCCCGTTGGCAGCGGTTGCGGCACGCATGCTGTTCCTTGTATGGAGAGTCGCCCCTGGGGCGGTGACGAGCCCCTCGGCGAAGCAGGGGTCCAGACCCCTCTCGTCGCGAAACCGAAGCACGTCGACTGATTTGGCCCTTCGAAGTCCTTGCTGGGATCCGGTGCCGTCCAATCGCAACGATGGGGAAGGAGTCCGGACGTGCACGAGGGTGCTTTCCAGCGAGAGGGTGCGCGCAGGGGGGGCCAACGAGAGTGGGCGGAGGAGAGCGGTGGTTTGTTGTCAAGGCTTCCAATGCCTTGAGCATGTCTGGGATGTTTTCTATTTCTGCCACGTCCCTCTCCAGCCGATTGGCGTGGACGAGGAGGCGGGGTGGCAAAACGGGTTCAACATTCAGGTGGTGAGCAATAGTTCCGAGCTGTCCAGGTTCAAGTCTGTTGGCCCGAGGGTGGCGACGGCAAGTCGGCGCATGCACGATGTTTGGGCAGCAGAAATGCAGCGACTGTACCTTCAGAATTCGTCGCCCATCGCTCATTGTCGGCCGCCTTCGTCAGAGCGTGACGCGCTCGCTTGGGATGCAACTTCTGGAGGGTGAAATCCAGTCCAATCCGGCACAATCCTGCGCATTCTTGCCACATCAGGCTTACCCATGGGCTCAATCCGCGCTGATCCAGCTCAATGTCACCGAGCGCGTTCCACTACTCGTAAGAAGTGCCTACTCTCGAACGTCCGAGAAAGAAGTGCCTCCCTCTCTATGCAGTGTATCGTAGATACCCCGCGGCGGATCCAGGCCACTTGCGAGTAGTTCCTCTGCGAGCAGTGGAACGCGCCTGTCTGCAATGGCCTCGTGGTCGGGCCTGGTGGTTCCAGAGATCGTTCCTGAGCGGAGGCCTCCCGGGAGTTGCCTCTAGAACCAGCGCGGCCCGTGGCGGTTCCGCTCAGTCGGTCTCGGGCGAACGGGCCCTTTTGCACAAGGGGGGGCCCGAGTGGGTGCGCAGAAGTTCGTGCAGTCGTTCGCGCGGGATGCGCACGTCGTACAATGTCAGCACGTGGCTGCCGCGCGCCATGAGTGACAGGATGAGCTACTGCATGCTATTTTTGCGACCCCATTACGAAAGACCCCGTCTTTGTTTTTTTGTCCGTGTGTGTGTGTGTGGTTTTTGTTCAAAAGTGTGTGTGTGTGTGTATATGTGTGTTATTCCGCTGTGTGTGCTTTCCCACAGAGTGTGCGTGTGTGTGTGTGTGGGTGTCTGAGTGTGCGTGTGTGTGTGTGTGTGTGAATGTGTGTGTGTGTGCGTGTGCGTGTGCGTGTGCGTGTGCGTGTGCGTGTGCGTGTGCGTGTGCGTGTGCGTGCGTGTGTGTGTGTGTGTGTGTGTGTGTGTGTCTGTGTCTGCGTTTTTTTTCCACTTGCCCAGGGTCAACCCAGGGCGTGCCCTCCGCTGCCTGCTCCTCGGCCGTGCCACCGGCATGGCCCAACACCTGCCCATATACTGCGTGTGCGTCGGCTCCCCCCCCCTTCCCCGAGGGGATGGGGGGGGTCGCGCGCGCGCGGGAGTCTTACTGCACACTGTAGGCTGCGTGGCGGGCGCTCCCCGGCCGCACTGCTCGGCCGCCTTGGGGTGGTCCTGGGGGGCCTCGTTGCCGCGTCGTGAGGCGTCGGGAAGCCGAGCACGCGAGGACGCCAGGATCCCTGAAACATCCACGGGCCAAGTCTTCTGGATCTTGGGGCCCTCTCGGGAGGCCTCTTGCAGGCCTCTTGTGGCATCCTGGAGGCCTTTTGGGCCATCTCGAGGCCATCTTGGGCGTCTTGGAGCAATCGTTCGGCGACTCAGGGCCCTCTTGGCCTCATGGGAGGGTTCGGGAGGTCGTTTGGGGGCGGGGGGCACAGCGTCCACAGGAGGCGCAGGAAACTCTTCAGAACTGACGAGAGCCAGCCTGGAACGGCTTGGGAAATGATTCTCCCAGTTTTAGTTGCAGCAGCAGCAGTGCAGCGTCTGCCTCGCAGTGCTGCATGGGACTTGGGGTGCCCCACTTCGTACCAGAGGCACGGTGGAGGAGAATCTGTTCGAACTATAGATCATGTTCGGACGTGCGTCTCCAAGGGGGGCGAGTAGTACCAGTGGTGTCGAAGCGCCCTGACTCGCATATAGGCCCACCAAAGCATGCTACTATGTTGTATGGTAAAAATCTGGGGAGGGTTGTCCAGGGGGGTTGTCGGGGGGGGGTCTGGTTCCTCGCGGGGTTGTCCAAGGGGTTGTCCAGGCCGTGCCGGTTTGCCAGCGCACGCACATGCCTTGATATCATCAGAAGCATGGCACAGCCAGTCAAACCCAGGTGGAATGGGCGCCTCTATCCTCCTTCCCTTCTTGTTCGTTCCTCATCTCTCGCGTCCTCCCGCTCCCGATCGCACATCCTCATCGATCGTTGTTCCCTACGAAGCGTGGCTGGCTGGAGTCTAGTAGTTGTAGAAACTAGTTCCAGCCGCGGGACCAGCGCACAGGCATGCTCAAAATGAGGGTTGTCTTGCCACTTTCGCTTGAGACACCCTCGTAACGCTGGGCTCACGCATGCTCAGATCTGAGGTGTTCCGGCCGGTTTCGCCTTCGATATCTTTGCAAGTGTGGGCTTGGAGATGCCGCCTACGAGGAGGTCCGTTCTCGCAACGTTGGTCTCAGAGATGCCTTGACCTCAGGTGGTTCGAGAGAAGAGAGTCACTGGTGATCCCCAATGAAAGGACAAGGCCTTTCCCCCGCACGTCGGATTCTCGAAGGGACTGTCCGGCGGGTTGTCTTTCGATTGGGCTGCCTGGGGGGTTGTCCGGGGGCTGTCCAGGCGCAATCCTACCCAAGCCGTCTCTTGGGCCTCCTCATTATTCAGCCTTCGGAAGATGCCCTGACCCAACGATGTACACAAAGATGCCCTGACCCAAGGATGAGCAGACATTGGACTCCCACGGAATGGGGGGGAAGGTGGCGAATGGTGATGTCGTTGGAGCGCCTGCCATATCCCTGAACAGGAGTAGTGCTGTCGCCTGAGCGGTGACTACACTCGCGATTTGGAAGTGAGCTGTCGCCCGAGCACTGGATGTTGCTCTCGCCTGAGCGCCAGCCACATCCCTGATTGAAGAAGGTGCCTTCTGCAGTGCGCCGGCCACATCCCTGGTAGGGAACGGTGCTCTCGCTCAAGCGTTGTGTTCTCCATCGCGGAGGGGTGAGGGGTTGTCCGGGGAGTTGTCCGAGATTTTGTTTGATACGTTATTTTGTCGATGCGAAACAGAGTATAATAACTTTTTCTGGTTTGCAAGACGTGTTTTTAGAGCATTTCTGGCTCGGACAGTTCTGTTCTCATGCGCCCGCTGGAGATGCTAAGGGCACTGTTCGTGTGATTCGAGCACCCTTGCCTTCTGGCAGCACGTCGTGGCAGCCTGCATGCATGCCGGGAGTGTCGGTCCCAGCTCAGCCAGCACCAGCACAGTGCCGTTTTTAGTACATGCTCCGCGTGCGGATCATGTATTATAATGCAGGGATTTCGCATAAAAAACAACGATGCGTTCATGCATGATTTCATTCATAAATTAATCATGCACCACAGATCCTGTATAAAAAAAACCTATGCGTTAAAGATTGCCCTGTACGTTTGCGTCCCGTGCCAGGCGTGGCGCCGCAGGATGGCCACCCCCGCCGGCGTGGGGGGCGGCACCGCTTCGCAGGCCGGCGTGCCGCGCGCGGCCTGCGCGGATGGGAGGCGTCAAGCAGTGGCGAAGCGTCCTGGCTCGCCGATACCCCTACGGTAGGTTCATGCGGCGTTGGCGCGCCGGCGACGCTGGCGAAGGCGTTCAAGATTGAATTCTGCGACGCGGAAGCACCGATGGACTCGGTTCGCCATTGGACCCGATTGAAGTCAACTTTGAACGATCGTGGCTGCGATCGATTCAAGGTTGAACGATCGACGCGGTGTCAAAAACCTTTGCGCGCGCCGACGCCGCACGAACCTACCGTACCAGACAAAGTTCTAAAAGAACCTTTTGTGGCTTCCACGAATTCTTCTCAGAGCATTTCTGGCGGAGTCGGTCTTGCGTTGTCACATCGGGTGTATGTTCTGAGAGCATTGCTTCTGTTCTTAGAACATTTTTGGGTTCTGAGAACATTTCGTGGTAGGACTACAGGAATGTCGGGACGGTTGGTCCCTGCTCAAAGGCGGGGGCGAGGATGCGGGGGGAGGCCACCGAGGGAGGGAGGAGTCCGAGGCGGGAATTTATACATGAGCACCGCCTGGAGGATCAGTTTTCGGGGACCTCGCTGTCGCTGGATATGGATATATATATATATATATATATATATATATATATATATATATATATATATATATATATATATATATATATATTCGGGCCCCCGGGGGCCAACATGTATCCAGGTCCATCGCCTGCTGGGGCATCAGGACGTCGCTTCCCAGGCGGTGGATCTGCATGAATCCCCACCTCGCAAGGAGGTCGTTGCGTACCAAACCTCGAAGAAGAAAATGGGCACACACATCAATTTTTGGCGCTCCACGCGGATTTCTTGGATCCGCACTGGATCCGCCCGGCGGCGCCTCCGGCGCCGCCCCTGGCGCGCTCCGCGCACCAGGGATGGGGGCCCAGCGCAGATCCAAGAAATCCGCGCGGAGCGCCAACAATTCAGTTTATGCCCTGGGACTGTATTGTTTACACATCGGACTTATGTTCTAAGAGAAATGTTTTTGTTCTGAGAACATGCAAGATTTCGTGGTAGGACTATGGGATTGCTGGGACGGTCGGTCCCTGCTTCAGGGAGGAGGTCATTGCGCACTAAACCACCCCAGCCCAGCCAGAAGGCCCCATGCCCTAGACCCCCCCCCCCGAATTTCGGGTCGGGGGGCCTACCGTTTCCAGGGTGTCTTCTCAACGGCGATTTTGGGTTTGGGGGGGTGGTAGGTAGTCTCAAGTCGGGCGTGTCCCTCTGCAGGAGGAATCTTCAAAATAGTAAGACAATAGTCAGGGAACGATTTGTTGATTACCCGTGAGCATTTTTGGAGAATTTTGGTATTCTGAATTTTCCGTCCAAAATTCGACTGTAGGGGGACGCCCGACCTAAAGGTATTCAGGAGGACGATCAAGGCGTAGGGGAGGGGGGGGATCAGGAGCATCATTAGGGGGGGATAAGTTCAGAGGAGGATGGACATCGACCCTCACTGGCCTATTGATTGCCGATAGGGGCCCGATGGACCACCCTGCCTGGGAACGGGCTGGTATGCTATCGCTGGCCTATCGGCGATGCATCGCCGATTCCGGGTCGACTTTTCCCCCGCTGAACGGGTCTACCCCAAACGTCCTGTTTTACCAGTGCCGTCGCCGTTGTTTTTTGGCGGTTTTGCTTTCGGTTCCAATCCTGGAACCGTTTTTTTGCGGTCTCCGGTCGCCTTTTTTTTGCCGTGTACATTTTCAAAGGACATTTTTTCGGAAACGGTGAAAAAACGGCCTTGCCGTTTCCGGGGCCCACTTAAGGGTTGACCCACCAGGGGGTCCAGCTGAAAGGGGGTGGTGCAACAGGCTAGTTCGACGGCAAATCATGGGAGCCTTGTGTACCCTCGTAGTTCTGTTTGTAACGTCGAGTCGACTGGCGTCGATTAGTGTCTGGGAGTCGATGAGATAGCGCCGATTTACGTCGAGTAGCGTCGATTTAGCGTCGATTAGCGTGGCGCCGGAGAATTGTCTTATGATGTTTCAACCTACGTTAGCCTTGGTCACCAGAAATAATTTCGAGCACCAGAAATTACCGTAACTGGATCACCAGAAATTGCCGTAATTGGAGGGTGTTCACGCGTCGGGCCATGGGTGGCGATGTTCGTTCGACACCGTTTCGGTACTTCTGAGGGTGCTCGAAATTATTTCTGGGATGTGGCCCTTAAGTACGATGTGAGCAACATAAGAATTGGCTTGCATTGTACTGCAACGGAGGTACTGCACGCAAAGATCCATCAATGCCTTTGCGCTCCGGAATGTATGGCACGTCCCAGATCTTTTGCAGCCCCACAAATCTCTTGCACCAGATCTGTTGCACCACCCCCTTTTCGCTGAACCCCCTCTTGGGTCATCCATCTTGTCGGGGCTACATGTTTGGTCCAGACGGCCACGACCCGTTGTAGAACATACATGGAGGCGCACGTGGGCGTGCTCTCGCCCCTGTCCCGGCTGCATCCCTCCTTGCTCAGGCTTTCCTGGCTGTGCTCCTCCTCTCCCTCGGCCCGCCTCTTCTCCCCATCGCGGCAGCACAAGCTGCATGAGCGGAGGCACTCTCGGCGGAGGTCCGCGCAGCGTTCTTGGACCTGCGCTGGCTCTTCCTGGCGGCGCCTTCGGCGCTGCCCCTGGCGCGCTCCGCGCGCCAGGGGGGGGGCATTCGGCGCCGATCCAAGACATCCGCGCGAACCTCCGCAAGGTGGGCAGTGTATACGCAGCTGTTTCTTCTTCGATGCGTGCCGCCGAAGAGAGACGGGGAGCCCTTGCCGAATCATCGTTGTGATGCTTCCTGGCCAGTTCCCTTCCGCAAGCGATAGTTTGGTGGCTTCCAAGGCCTGGGTCCGCCAGAGTCAGATCCGCCCAGTGTTGGACTCTTGATCTGAGCCCCGTGTGCTAGAAGAGAGGGGAAGACTGCAACTCTCCGAGCAGAACCTTTTTTACCAAATTACCCCAGTGCGACCCTACCTAGAAGTTGGAACCCCTAGGAAAGCAGCATTAGTTGCTATACGATGCCATGCTTTGCTGCGCTATGCAATGCTATGCTATGCTAAGCTGCGCTATGAAATGCTATGATATGTCATGCTGTGCTATGCTAAGCTATGCTATGTTATGCTATGCTGCGCTATGCTATGCTATGCTGGGCTATGCTATGATATGTTGTGCTGCGCTATGCTATGTTACGCTATGATATGCTGTGCTCTGCTATGCTAAAGCTCAGCGAAGCTAAGATGAAGGTAAGTTAAGCTAAGATAAACCTGAGCTAAGATGAAGCTAAACTAAGCTAAGATGAAATAAGCTAAGCTAAGATGAGATAAGCAACGCTAAGCTAAGGGGACGTAACTGGGGGAACCGCGGGGCGGATAGTGGGGGAACCGCCCGGGGCGCTTTCCACTGCCAGACCCCTTTAAGCCCAGAGGGTAAGGACCCTTCTAGGCAGAGCCTAGGTAGGGAAATACGTATGCCGAACGGCGCAGCGCTCTCACTACATTTGGCGACTCGAGAAAACCGCGCCGGAGTTGTCCTCCAGGTTTTGTTTAGCCAGGGGGGCGCGTCTGGGCTCCAAGACCGTCAAACCATACGATGACTGAGAATTGGCACTCGGGATGCGGTCGGGAGCCCCAGGGGCAAGCGACTTGAAAAATGGGCTCGGGCCTGAGTGGGTGTGGGGCCATCGGCGCAGCGCTCTGTGGCGAGATCCTGCGATTGGCCACCCTGTTCTTTCCAAGTGTCCCTCCTTGCCAGCGGGTTGTGTCAAATGCTAGGCTCCTGCCACGGACCCGATCAAGCGGCTCATGTGACTTGCGGGGGCGCGACATCGAAACCATCGAAACCATTGTAAGATTGGATTGCCGAACGGACGGCCTCCAGGCCTTTGGGAAGGCTTTACGGCTGGCGCTTCCGATCCTGAGCGCCAGGAAGACGCGGTGGAGGAGGAGGAGGAAGAGGAGGAGGAGGGAGGCTCGTTTCGACGCGCCTTGGCCAGCCTTTTCCGGGCTGTCCAAGGGCGATTTGGGAGGCTCCTGGTGGGCCTTCTGTCTGCTCTTCCCCCCTCGAGGCGGCTCCGCCGCCGCCGCCTGCCGCCATGCACGTGGCGCGCCCGTCTTCGCCCTCGGCGCCGAGCGGCGTGCCGCCCTGGCTACAAGACCCGGAGCCTGCAGCGGAGCGGGCGCGGGGACGAGCCTTGAGATCTTGGCGTCCCAGCTCTTTCGCGCGGGGCGTCTTCGCTCTCTGCTCTCCGGTCCCGGGGCCCGCGCCGGTCGACCCGGCCCGAAAGGTGACGCAGAAGGATGCGGTCCGGGGCTCCCGGCGTGATTTTTGTTTCGGTCCTGCAGCTTTTCCGGTATGTCGGATCTCAGGGAAGGGTAAAGGGCCCGCGGAGGTCGGGGGCGGAAAAGAGGGGGGTGATGACAAGGGGGGGGGGGATATCATGGCGGGGGCCATGATTTTTCCCCAGATTTCATGGCGCCTCTTCTTATTTCATGACGTCCCTGGCCCCCCCGCTGGGCCGCGCACATGGCGCCGGTCATGATTTGCACCCCCCCCTCTCGGACACCCCCCTCTTGGCCGCTCCCGAGAAGGGGAAAGGGCCCGCGGAGGGTGAGCGGCAACGTTAGGGGGGTGGTCAGCTGAGGGTTGGAAGACATCGACCCTGAATCGGCGGTGCATCGCCGATGGATCGGCGATGGTCGTTTCTGGGCAGGGCGGCCCACCGGGCCCCTGTCGGCGATAAAGGGGCGATTGGGGGTCGACGCGTTCCCCCCCGGAAGCCTATCCCCCATTCGTTGCCCAGAAGGTGCGAGGGCGCACTGCATGGCTCAGGAGGGAAAGAAACACACAGACACAATTAATCGTCGACTCCCAGGAAAATATGCAAAAATATGGGCAGTGGTGGGGAAGACAGAAACCCAGAAAATATGGGAAAATAGGGGGGATATTTTGATTTGTGTGTATCTATTTGTGTGTCCCAGTTCCCCTTCATGCATGGCGACGCGCAGAGTGGTGGGGCGGGCTGCGCGCGGCGGCCCTCGCCTTCCCCGCACGAGTCCTCCTGGCGGCCGGAAGTGCACACGCTGGCCTTTCTGACTACGCTGTAGGCGATGCTTAAGAAAACCTAAGTTTTCGTCCAGAGTCTCGATTATTCTCAAGCTTTCACTGTAAATCCCACGATTTTGATAGAAATGTTTTGGTTTTTATTCAAGTTCTGAGACTGTGAATTTCTTAACCCATGCTTTCTTAAGCATTTCGCAGGGTGTACGCGGGGGGGGGGTTCTCAGACGCCCCCCCTTGCCTTTCGGAGCCCGTCGCGGGCGCCTCCGAGACTGTCTGGAAAGCAGCCTCCTTCCCGGAGGGCTGCCCCCCTCGTGCCCCCCTTGGCGCGCTGCCGAACAGGATGAGGGGGGAGTACATCAGGAGCGAGAGAAGGACGTGCGCGCACATGAATCCACGCTGGTTTCGAGAGTTCGCATTGCCCGAAAGTTCGTATCACGCGGCCGGTCTCGCAGATCGAGGGGCCGTGTTCGTGTACATAGCTGGGCGCGTACGTCCTTTGTGGGCTCCCTAGTACAGTTGGCAAAGCGGAGGAGGGTCGAGGCCTCATCATTTTCAAGTTGTATGGTTGCGAGTACGAACCCTGACAGAGAGCTTGCACAAGGGATGTGCAAGCAATGTGGCGCAAGCCATGTATTGGCATGCGGCCCATTCCGCCATCGCGCCTGGGTTGTAGGTCAGAGGCCTCGGATGCTTGTGGGGACCTCTTTGGAGGCATCTCGGGAGCCTCTTCGAGGCGGCTTGGGGGCTATTGGAGACCATTTCGGGGACGTTCGGGGCTTCAGTTGGGACTCTGCGGGACTTTCTAGATCTTCTGGGGGGCTTCTCAGGGGCCTGCTTGCTGGCGGTCTCAGAGGTCATCGTGGGGTGGAGGGGTCCAAATGTCAATTCGCGTTCACCTCTTGGGGCCCTCTTTGGGCCGTCTTGCGGAGCCTCTGCGGCAGCCTTGGGGCCCTCTTAGGGCCGCTTTGGGACCCTCTCGGAGGCCTCTTGTGCCGTTTTGGGTCGATCTTGGGGGCTCGTTGGGGTGCCATGGAGCGTCGAAAGCCCCAGCAGGCGAGAAAGCTAAACTCCTGAAATATCCACGGCAAATCAGTGATGTCGTCATCTCGGGACTCTCTTGGGGGGCTTCCTGGAGCTCTTTCGGGGGCGTCTTGGGAGCCACGTGGCTCCGAGAATGGGATTCCAGCGACTCGGGGCCCTCCTTTGGCAGTAATTCTGAGTGGCCTTTTGATGGTCTCTGGGTCCGTTCGGAGCCCTTTTTGTTTCTGAACATGTAGTGCGAGCACGTGCGGGGAGCCTTGAGTCGGGCGTGTCCCTCTACAGGAGGAACATTCAAACATAGTAGGAAATTGTTGTCGCTTCGCGAATCCCCACCAGCCCATCCAGAAACGATGCCCAGAGGAATTGCCTCGATCAGAGAAGTGGGCAGCACACAGAGGAAGCCATTATGAGACATCTTGGGATATCTTGAGCCATCTTGGAGGTCATTTTGGGCTCTCCCAGACGCTCTTGGAGTCATCTTAATCCGTGCCCCCCCCCAAGAGGCCTCCATGTGGCTAAAACCTGTGTAGAATCAATGATTAGGCATTCTCGCCGAGGCCTCTTGGAGCATCTTGGGTGCATCTGGGGGGGCTCTTGGGGCCTCTTGGGGGTCTCTTGGGGGCCTCCGGGGGGCCTCTTGGGGGCCTCTTGGGGCCATTTTGGGGCCATCTTGGGACCTCTTGGGGCTTCCTGGGCGCTTCTTGGGGCCATCTTGGAGGAGATCGATCAAACAAGAGGGGGGGTTTAATTAGCGTCCCCCCTCGGAAGCCCCTAAAATCGCCTCTTGGACCCCTCTTGGAACGCTCTTGGAGTGCTCTTGGGCGCTCTTGGGGCCGTCTTGGGGCTCTTTTGGGGCTCTCTTGGGGCCCTCTTGGGCCATCTTGGAACCATCTCCAGGCCTCGGATGGCCATCGGAAGCGAAAAGGCGAGAAAGCAAAAATCATTGATTTTCCTTAGGTTTTGGGACGATTTTGGCCTCTTCGGGGCCTCCTTGGGGAGCTGTTTGGCCACTTGGAGTTATCTTGGGGCCGTCTTTGGGCTTCTTGGAACCATCTTAGGAGCCATCTCGAGCGATCTTGCGCTATCTTGAGCCATCTTGGAGCTCATCTTGGGTTCTCTGAGGCGCTCTTGGAGCCGTCTTGGGCCATCTGGGACGCTCTAACTACCCGCGGCCCCCCCCGTCCAGGTCCAGGGGAGGGGGTAGGGGGAGGGGTAAACCCCTCCCCAAGGGGGAAGAGGGAGGGGTGGAAGAGGATCTGCTCTAGACCACCTACGCCCAGAGGGCTGGTGGGATAGGAAATAGTCAGGGGACGTTTTTCGCGTACTTGTTAGCATGGTTTGACTATTGTGTTGGTTGTTGTTTAGTTTTCCTCCAACATCCGCCTGTAGGAGGACATGCCCGGCCTAAGGGAACGTGCGGGGAGCCCCCTGAGAGCCGCGGCACGCCCCGGCGGATCCGGGAATGCGGAGTCTGGGCCCCTCGAATATTCAGGCACCCAGGGTTAAGGGCGACGCACTCCAGGGGACCCGAGGACACTCCTACCCGTGCCTCTCAAGCAGTGGCGAAGCGCCCTGGCTCGCCTATGGGCCCACCAAAAAACTGCTCTGATAACTTGTTGTGGTGTGCACGACATGTTTTCATTTCAAAACATGTCTGACTGGATTGTCTTGCTTTTACATAGCGGGCTCATGTTCTTGTGTTGTTATTCGAACATGTGTGGGTTGTAAGAACATCCCGTGGCAGGACTATATATAGTACTGCCGCGACGCTCTGTCTCTGATCAAGCCTCAGGGTGCGATGGTGGATCCACTTGCATCTATGTGATGCCAGATGCATGGTGCATGCTATGTTGTTCTATGTACATGTACATGTACCTGTGTGTATGTATGTATGTATGTGTGTAGGTATGCCTGTGTATATATATGTGTGTTTGTATACGTAGATGTATGTGCATGGTTATATATGTATACATATATGTATGTATATATTTATATATGTCCAGTTTGAAACGTGAAGCGGAGCCTGGTGGAGAGAGAGCGCCGCATTCGTCTGTGCTTGCCCCGCTGGCATCGGGCTCAAAGTGCAAGCCGACGGCACTTCGATGGCCTTCGCCGCATGGCTGGCGGGCGAGGCGGTGCACGGCGCTGGGCAGGCCGCGCTGCTGTGGGCGGCCCGCGGTGAGTGCCCCGCCTGCACGTGCGCGCCGGCCCTCACGCGCGCCCCGGGCCAGGAGGCGGCGCGCCTGGACTGCCCGGGCGGACCCCCTGGGTGGGCGCTGTCAGCGGTGGCCCTCGCTGGCGTGACCGGTTTCGCTGGAGGGCTCCTGGCCGCGCGGTGGCTGGGCTCCTGGCAGCCGATCGCTGGCCCTCCGCCCAAGCCGTCCTTGGAGGAGGAGGCTAGAGCGCAGGCTGCCGTAGCCAGAGCGCGGGCCTCCGCCTCGTGATGGCCAGCTCTGCAGCCGCTGCGGCGGCAAGTGGACACCCTTTGGCCTTGGATGGGGCTCGACGAGGGCGACTTCATCCATGTGCTGTATCGCGTGGGAGGCGCTCGGATCTGGCTTCGGGACAGGGATCATGACTCCAGATGGGCACGCTTGCGTGGAGGCCATCATGCAGAACGGGGCGGACATCAGGGAGTACGCTATTCCCGCCGGCGCCTCAGCTGGCGCCGTGGCGGCCGCCACAGCTGGGGACCAGGTCTACCGCTTCCGTGGACTCCCTCTTCCTGGTGAGGTCGCGACAGGTGCCGCCTCTGTTCGAGGCACTCTTGGGCTGGGCGCGGGACCGCCGATCGCGCTGAACACGGCAGGGCGTGTCATCGCGGCCGTGGTAATTAGGCGCTCCGGCTGGCGCTGGGCCTGCGGGGGCCCCTGCTGCTGGCGAGGCCGGTGGCGCTCCTGGGGCTCTGGGCGGTCTGGCAGGGCTAACCGCAGCCCTTGGGGGCGGCCCAGCGGCCGCGCCAGCTGGCGCAGCCGCCCTTGTACCAGTGGCGGCAGCCCCTGCACCTGCGGCTGGAGGTGCTCCAGTTGTCGCGCCCTTTGGCGGAGGAGGGGCGCCCCCAGCTGCTCC